TAGGTTTTGAAAACAGCATCAGCAGAGTACACAGTAAAGGGGAAAGGAACAATTGTTCCTTTCAAATTTTTTACAAAACATCCAATCCTGGATCGTATCCATATCCACTTAGGATCGAGTGATCCAAATACACCACATTGTGACAATAACCACGGCATAGCAGCTGATGAGCAGCAGATAGATACTGCTCATGGCACCACTGGTGCAACTAGACTTGCAGTCAAGACTGTCTAAACCAAGACCAAGACCAGAGGGTATCGAGACCAAGACAAGACTAAGAACAAGTCGAGACAAAGTCGAGACGAGACAGAGACAGACAAAAAAGTCTTTAAACTGCAGCCAGATGCTGCTTCGTTTACGGGTGTCTGGCATATTTATGTGTTTTTGCTTTAGCACAGCCCTCCTCACTTGACTTGACGCACTTGACTGTCACGTCTCTCACCCTCTCTGTTTTTCACACAATGATATTATCCTATATCCTCGCATGTGATTGGCCACAATATGGAGGGATTGGAGCACAGCTGAACCACTGTGTGAGAGCTGAGCAGCGAAAGAAAATAAAGCGAGGGTAGAAATGACTGATAGATTAATAGGCTCTGTTTTGAGTTTTGTTCAAAAAAGAATGACTTCATATAGGAAAAAATAAATATCACATATGCAGGACACCTTAAACTGTATCAAGACACGAGGACTAAACCCCAATTCAAACAGACCCAGAACTGATCGGGAATCAAAACAGGACTACAAGAGTTCAAAATCAGGACTACTGAGGACTTAACCAAAACAGAACCAGAATCAAAACTAGATGATAGTAGCACTAAAAATCATCATAGACCTGCACTACACCTATTTTTTAATTCTACCAAAGTCCACTATTTAGATTCAGAGAAGTTTATATAATTATTCAGCCTTATTGTGCAAACAAGCCTGCAAAACTTAAGAAATATAGAATTTGAAAAGTAACAAATGGTATCTAAGAAGTTACTCTAGGTACTAGATACATGTTCTGATGAGTTTTGGCAAACAACCATTTGACTAACATGTGTGTCTCACCTGCTCTTGTTCCATCTCTGTTCTGTCCTCTCTGCTCCTCTCTCTCCCTCTCTGCTCCTCTCTCTCCCTCTTTGTGCTGACAATCAAGCCAAACACCAACATCATCAAATACACAGTTGAAACCAGACATTTACACACTCTTCAGATAAAAACACAAACACGTTTTTATTGTAACATCGAATCAGACTAAATGTTTATTTTTTTTTAGATTAATAAATATAAAAACATTTGTTAAATTTAAGAGAAACTACCTGTATTTCTTAATTGTAAATGGCACCAAATTGTATTCAAAATTGAGCCACACTTATGGAGCTCCACAATTCTTTTCCTGGTGTTTTGGTTGACATCTCTTGATTTTCCCATGTTAAAGAAACAGGCTCTGTGTTTTGCCTTATATGCATCCACAGCTGTGCCACCAGTTTACTCACATGGACTCTACTAACCTGTCAGAAGCTTCTTCAGCTCAGAATGGAATCGTCTGGAGTTTCTTATTAATTAACAATAAACTTAGTGTACATGTACTCCTAAATTTGATGAAAGTGATTAAAATAGACAGCTCCCTCTTTTTATTCTGACATTTAACTAATTCAAAAGATATTTCTCAGTCTACTAGTGCCTGAGCTCGGATCATACCAAAATTAAAGGGAATTTAGTACTGTGCGCTATGTGCTTGGAATATGGTGTGTAGTTTTTGTTTTATACAGTTGTCAGTCAGGCATCTTACTATGAAACAAATTACACTCCAAAAGACCCCGGGATTCTGAAAAAATGACCCGGGCTTAAGCCCAGTAAGCCACCCCCCATGGTTGACTCCAAATCTCCCGAACACTTTGTCGATCTGAGAAAGCAAGACCAAGACCACATAAAAGTGAAGACCAGTCTCGAGACATCCAACTCTGGTTTACAGTTGTCACATTTCACTAGCCCCCTTAGTTCAAGGTTTCCCTAATAATCCTTCAACTGACAAATGTTTACACTCATTTTAACTTAGTAAAACCTTTGGCACTTTCTTTCCTTTAAGACATATTAATAAAAGGCAAATTTATATCTATTGCTTTTGAAAACTACAGCCAGTCAGTGAGCGTCTAAGACTGCTTTTTCAGGTTCCTTTATTTGTACCTGTAGGCAGATTTTGCTTAAGTTTACAATTAACATCTAGACACTCATCGCAAACTTGGCCCGTTTGAGGTTTCCCACCATCACAAACCCAAACACCACCACGTCATAGTTTCCTCATTCATTGCTTTATTGAAAAATCTGGGTCATTTATGCATCAGCGATAGTGACTTCGACCTCTACACCAGGTTCGATGCTGATGGAGGTGATCTGCTTGACAATTTCAGATGGGCTGTGCAGATCAATCAGGCGCTTATGGATCCTCATCTGGAAGCGATCCCAGGTTTTGGACCCTTCACCACAGGGAGTCTTTCTGGTGGTGATGCGCAGAGTCTGGAGGGAGGAAGAGAAATGCATTTTACTTTAATAAAATGATCAAGCATTCAGGATACGATAAGAGTTCTTAGCCATGGTCTTCAGTACCTTGGTTGGCATGCGGACAGGTCCCTTCACCTTCAGGTTCTTTTCCTTAGCCCCACGGATCAGGTCTGCGCAGACTGCAGAGCAGAAACACACAAAACTTGAAAACACGGCCAGTCATCACTTTGCCTTGATTTGCTTTCCAAGCCATGGCTCAGAATAGCGTATACATAAATCAGGGTTTATCAGTCAAATTTTTTGTCCTCATAGCTCAGGTCAGGTTAAACTCACAACATTAACTAAATCTGAGCTTAATTACCCTTCTCCAGAGATTTGACGTTGCGGCTGGTGAGGGTGATGCGGATGCGGTGGATGGCAACCTCAGTGTCAACTGGTGCCTTGCCGGTGTCCTTAAAAGCCTGGATGTGAGGAGGAAAAAGCAGTTACTCAGACCCATCCTTGATATTGCAGGACGATGTATTTTTTTTTTTTTTTTTTTAAAAAGGGGGAGATCTCAAGAACACGCGCAGCGAACTAGTTTAGGTTTGATTCCTTTTACACTGATTCGGAAGCCCGGGCAAAAGCACCTGAACGCAGCGGCAGAGAACTAATTTGGGACACCCCGATGAATAACGACACCCAGATGATTTACTTTCAGCAACAACCGGCCCCCACAAAACGCGCGAGTCAAGAGGAAGCTTGAACTTTATATAAGCGAGTCTTCTGCCTCGCTTAGAAATGCGCCGAAACGTTAACTGTGCATTTAACATCCACAGCCGCATGAATCTACAGCTTGCTAACGTTAGTAACTATCTACAGTCCGTTTGGACGGTGTTTATGAAGGGGCTGCGAGCGCCATTAGCTGTCGGCATTAGCAGCGACACTCCGTAGAACTCTTGAGTTCAAATTACTCTACAAATTATCAAGCAATTAGCAAAAACCAGCTGCATACAAGTTGTTGGTTGACCTAATCAAACAGCACATACCATTGTGAATATTCCTGACCGACTTATTCGGAAAAAAATTCAAGCGAACAGCGGTGAGCCAGGAAAGCACGCCACCAACGTGGTTAGCTCTCGGTGAAAAGACCGAGCACGGGCCAGTTTCCTCATATGTACTGCTCATCCGGAAGTCTTCTACTTCTTCGTTGGTGTTTCAAGCAGCTCCGTAACTAATAGCGACATCTATTAACGTGAGTTTGAAATTGCAGTGTGATCACGTATGTGCGTTTTAGATAAGACTGCAACTGTTACCTTTACTATTATTCCAGTAATAGTGATTTATAAAAACTGATAATGCCACAAATTTGTTACAGTAGTTGTTGTGTTGTTACTCGTATTCTATGGTAAATTCTTCATTCCAAAATGTGCATTTAGAAGCAAGAATCAAAATCTGAATATTTTTTAATCCCAGAGGAAATTAAAAGGTTACAGCAAGTTAAAGTATCAATATTAAATAATACAATATTTTACAAAATAGTTCTAATGATATAAATGGTTTAATTACACAAATTTCCGCAAAATATATCCCACAAAATTGAAATATAAAGTTGACACTGAGAAGCCCCTATCGTCATATTAAAGAAAAGAAACTGTTATTCCAACCCCCAGGGCACACCAGTAAACATGAAGCAAGAATTTTGAGTAAAATGTAAATGAAATATATGAAATCAAAGATTTATTTATTTAAATTAGCAATCATCACGGAAAATATACTTGGTATAAACTAAATATATGCCAATCAAGTAAATTTCATTTGACCAGATTCCATTAATTCTGACGTTTTACAATGTACAAATTGTATATGTAATTTAATTAGATAAATTTAAAATCATTTCCTTTTTGTTTTTGTGTTTTTGTTTGTTTGCTTGCTCTGACTGTACTGGCTGTGAAAACAAGCTATGAAAACAAATCGAATCCTGCAACAAACAAAGATTTTTTCATTAAGCTTGTTTTTTCTACTGAGAGAAAAAAAATCTCCCAGATTTTTAAAAATATTTTTTCAAATATATTTATTTATTTAAAGTAAACCTTATTTCAAAGTTTACATTAAAACTATATTTGTGTATATTGTGCAAATAATAATGCTCACTGTGAATACTGCTATTTGGTGTCTGTGGTTTGTAAAAAAAAAAAAAAAAAAAAGGAATAAAGTGAATTGTTGCATTTTTCCACCACTGGAGGGCAGTGGAAACACGTTTTTCGCACATCTGATCAGCTGTGCGTTTTCAGGACATAAATAACAATAACAATCATGACAACATTAAAAATAAACCAGAAACCTCGTGTTTTTAGCACTGTTAACCTCTGTATATCTACAACAACTAAATAACCTCTAAGTATGTAACGCAGAAACCTCAGACAACAACAGCAAACAGAGACATAAAAACCAGAGAACACTTCCGGTAAAAAAAAAACGTTTCAGAATAATACAATCATTGTTTGCAACAATTATGTTGACGCGAACAAAAAGTTAAGAAAGATGGTGATAGCTGAGTGAATAATATCAATATCAATACTATTCTGTGGAACACTACCCTTTTGATATTTACATTTTTAAATTATAAGATGTGTCATTTGCTTTGTGTCACAAAGTATATATTAAGGTTTGTGACACTGTATATTTTAAAATATTATCTTGGCTAATAATGTATCGGACACTAGTCATATACGAATGTGGAGTGAGGATATACAAACACAATGTAATGAAATATACTACGCAGCCGAGCTATAAGTGGGTTTGACCAAAGTACCCTAAAAGCTGATGGTACCTGAGTATGCTTTTGTTTTGAAAAGCAGAAGTTGCGCCGTGTAGCCACTAACTTCACCGTGGTCAGATTCCTAAACAAGTAACGGAACCGGGCATCGCCGGCTGATGGCCACAAAGTTGTTTTGTGAAGAACATTAGACTAAATGTAGAGACTGGAGAGGAGCTCCTTGGCGTATTGTTTGAAAGGAAGAACATTAACAACAAATCTGAACTTCATTTTGCTGTGCGTCATGATTTCCAAACACAGGCCGCCGCCAAGTGACAGAGGAGAACTTTTTCACAGTTAGCGTCGATAAAACAACTGGAAACTGAATAGAGACGAAACAGCGCGGCGAATAAAGACATGAATTTCGGGGTCCCCGTGAATTCGCGGCTACTTCTACGTGCCTGCGATGAGGGGGACTATGAAACGGCCCGGAGCATCCTGGAGCCCGGAGCCCCGAAGGAGTCCGGGCGGCAGAGCAGGCTGCGGTCAGAAGCGGGTTCGGAGTGTGACGCTGCGGACATGTTGTCTCTGATACCTGTGGACTGCACCGACGAAGAGGGAAACACCGGCCTGCAGTTCGCCTCGGCCAGCGGACACGAGAACCTGGTCCGGTTCTTGCTGAGAAAGGGGGCCTCAGTGGACAGTCGCAACAACTACGGCTGGACCCCACTGATGCAGGCTGCGAGGTGGGGCAGCTTGCTGGAGCTCATGTAACTCATGTAGCTCATGTAAGAGGGTGGCACCATACTCCTTCTAAAAATGTGCCTTTTTTATTTGCCACCGTGTGTTGTTAATCATAAAGTAATTAATATTAAAGGGCAGGAATCTTCCGATGCCCCTCCCCAATTCGTCGCATAAAAACACACATTTTAGTGACATGAGAGGGAGCAGATTGTGTTTAGTCTTGTTTCCTTTAATATCACAGGCCGCTCGGGGGTTTAACATTTGCGGAACTTAGTGGAGTTTCGTGGGTAACACTTTATAATACAGCCAGCGACAAATTCCACTGTAGTTAAATTGTATTTAAATGATTTTACTTGAAATTCAAATGTAATTATATTTTACCAACAGTTAATTACAAGAAGGCACATTATAATAACGGGGTAACAAGTCAGGTTTTTACAGGAAACAAAGATATCATCAAAATTTGCAGGCCAGTGAGAATTTATAATGATGGAGCCAAGCCTAGCTAAATTGATCTTAAAAGAAACAAAACCTTAATTTATGCCCTTATGTGCAGGCCGTATTATAAAGTAATACCATTGTTATCTAGAGATTTCAATGAGCCTTCAACCTTATTTATAGAGAAAATTCAAGTGCTTTGTAGCAAATTACTGTTCACTTTTATCCATTTTCTTTTTCTAATTTTGAACATACCTGTAGTTTTCTACACAGTCCTTGCTTAAAGTGCACTGGCATCTCTTTTGGAGCCTGTGATAGCTGGCTTAAAAAGAGCATCCTAATTCACCTAGAACAACTTCTACATGCAAAGTTCTTCCTCTGTCCTATTTCTCCTCCCAGGTTTGGCCACTTGACTGTCGCCCACATTCTTTTGGAGAACGGGGCAGAGATCAATGGGCGCAACAGGCTTGGAGCAAGCGTCCTGACCATGGCGGCTCGCGGGGGACACACTCATGTAGTCAAGCTGCTTCTGGAGAGCGGTGCGTACGTGGATGACTTTGATCACCTGGCTGTTGCTGCAGAGGCGGTCTCCAATGGCAACAATAACAACAGCTGCAGGTTTTTTCTCTTTTTCAAGTAAATTTGTAGCCCAGTGTGATATCTAACTAACATCCTCCACTGTTTTGTGTTTTGGGGTTTTTTTCACAGCGGAGCCAGTTTTGGACCCGGTGAAGGCTGTCTGGGAGGAGGAGGTGGCAGAGAATTCATGGACATCACAGCGTTGATGGTGGCGTCTCAGCACGGTCATGAGGCCGTTGTGTGCCTGCTGCTGGAGTGGGGCTCTGATGTAAAGTTCTCTCAGAAGACCACTGGATGGGGACCACTGATGCTGTCCACTCTAAGTGGGAAGGTAGGGTTTAAAACATTGACGGTTGGATGGATAAAAAAAGATATATATATTTAGCACATTGTGGGTATGTTGGTGGCATTTATTAATGGGTTTTTATAAATTGTTTAAAATGGACCTGGGCTAATTTTCTGTAGGACCTGGTGATTAAAGCTGTGTGTGTGTGTTTTGCAAAGGTGGCTGTGGCTCAGCAGCTGGTGGAACGCGGAGCTGACCCAGACCGAATCAACGTTCTGTCCAAGACAGCCTTTGAACTGGCCATGCAGCTGAAACAGAGAGACATCAAGGCTTATTTGGACTCCATCACTACTGTCAGACCACAGACAGGTACGGCCTTCCCTCAGTTACTCATTCAGACTTTGCTGTCTTGGCCTGATGATAAAGTACAGTAGTGCCATCGCATATTATACACGCCCTTGTAAAAGAACAGTTAAAAACTCATCTTTTTAAACTTGCTTTTGGTTGATTTTTGTTCTTATGTTTTAGCTTGAAGCACTTTGTGATTTTATCTTGAAAGGTGTTATATAAATAAAAATTTACTTATTTACATCTTCCAGTCTGAAAAACTTTAGAAGCAAACTGAAGGAGCTGAGCGGCTGAGCCTGCACACACATTGTTACATGTTTCCTAAAAAGAACAAATACTGGCTGTCCTGTCTTCCTTCCCTCACCCCTTAGCGGTCGCAGCATGACTGCCCCTCCTGGTTCTGTTGAAGGTTTCTTCCTGTTAGAAGGGAGTTTTTTCCTCTCCACCGTTGCCAAGTGGTTTTCATAGTGGGTCATCTGATTGTTGGGGTTTATTATTATTATTATTAATACTAAAATTAAATCAGCCAAAGCAGACACAAATAACATGGATAACATCAGTATAGAACTTCAACTTCACATGTATCTTCAGTATAGAACATAAAAAGAACATATAAAGGAAATAGTGGTTTCCACAGTAGGCCTTGTGTTAATACACTTCACTGTATAGTATAATGAAGGAGTCAGTTGAATGTTTTTATGTTTTATGTTATTATCAGAGAATAGCAGAGTGACGTAATAGTGCAAAAAGTTTTTGCAAAAAGACAAAATAAAGTAAATACTCAACTTTTTAGTGTTTTCTGAGAGTGTGTGGTGCTTTGAAAGCTTTTGAATTTTATTTTGGTAGCACCATGTCGTCAAGAGAATCCATCCCCCACTCCCGACCCCCTGCAGGATGCGAATGCACTTCAGTTAACATTAACGTGAGAGGCGCCAGAGGAGCTCAGCCTCTTTGTTTCATGGCTCTTCTCACAGGTAGTTCAGGTTTTTAGCTCACATTACCAACGTAGCCACACGCAGTGTATATTTCAAAGGTTTTAATTGCAGCATGCAAA